CTTTGCCTTACTGTTTCACCGTCATATTCTCCATCAATGCCTGATATCCTTTCAAGACCAATTTTTATAATGTCCCTTGTAACTGCCTCACAAGCATCGATGCGACGCCTTATGTCGCTGGATGGAGTGAGGTGAGCTCTAAGTTCCATGTACATGTTGATAACACTGCTCTTTCCCTCCTCCAGTGTGTCTATAAGAGCTGCAATGTCACTTTCAGGAATATTTTCCTTTAGTTGCTCTCTAGCCTTACGTGCTTGGGTTTTCCATTGTTCATAAATGTGAGCTAACCTTTTTTCCTTCTTGTGAGCCTCCTCTTCCTGATATGTAGAGATCTTTTCAGTTGGATTCCGTATACGACCAGAGCGACGGAGATGCTCTTCTTCATTTGCCTTATCCGTTGTCTGTTCAGAGTCTCTGTCTTCTGGAGGTGTTTTGACTGATGCTTCCATGTTGTGTAGGTGTCACAATCCTTGACCATCACATAAGTCCCTCTGCTCTTCCTTTGATTAACAGTGTGGAGGGACTGATGGGGTGAAGCTCTTACTGTAGCGTCCCGGCTAATTGATGGTCTGACTCTTTAACTGATGGTTCATATTCCTTTATTTTAGAATGGTCTTTGAAGGCAGCATATGAACTCACCGTAATAGCTATAAGAAAATAAAAGTAGAAAATACACAATTAATATCCTTTTAATCCAATAAACAACCGTTTAAACTAAGCAGATTGTGGATAAACACACAAATTATTCTGAGCTATTAATAAAACAAACAAATTAGCTTAGCTATAAAAAGACAGATACAAGGCTAAAACTTGCCACAGCTAACACATGTTACATCCATGAAACAATCATCAAACTCCAACTGGACACAATATAACATGAAAAATAATTAAAACAAACCTTGTGCCCTGTATAGCCAGGTGCTAGTGCCTTTTATAAAGTTTGGAATACCTTTACTGCAATTGACCGTCAGTTAGTAAGCGTTAAAAGAAAAACCGGAAGTGAAGGGGTCTCGCCGAGCGACTTTCAAAATAAAACTGAAATTGCCTTTTCTAAATATAAAAAAAATAGTGAGCTGACATCGAGTCGCTTTTTATAACACAAATTACACAAAAATAAAAATTTGATCATAATTTACAAATATGATAATAAACAAGTTCATAGATTAAGATGAGTCCAGGGAAATCCATCCTAAAAATATATATATATTATATTAAATCAGAGAGAGACATCTCACCTTTGTCAAAACTCTAATTTAATTACATGAGGTAGTGAGTGCTCTCACTTTGAAAAATATCTTTGACATATTTCTTTCTGGAAAATCCTGTTTTATCAAGTAACCTCTGAAACTGTTCATGTTAAAGTTGACATTTGTTCTTCATGTTTCTGCCTTGCAGGATATTCGTCTTTGTTAGAATTGCTTTGCTCAAAAAAAGCATTTAACACTAGAACTCCCACGGCCGTCATTTTGACGGTTCTGAGATTTTAAATGGAAAGAACTATATTTGAGATTAAACTCATGTTGCTCATGTTAACAGACTTTTCCTGTTTCTACATTTCCTTCATTTTCACATAGTTCTTTTTTAATAAAATAAAAACTTAAAAAATAAATATGGTTAATTCTTCCTCTTTCCACCACAGCCGTCAATTTGATGGCCCTATTAGTTGCATTGTAAATTCTTCCTGCGGTTGANGTAACTGGTGACTAAATAAGAAAGTTGATGAGGACTAAGCAACAAAAAAAAAAACTTTAAACAGATATATGATGGTGTTTCACAACGACCTAAAAATAAAATCAGAAAGGAATCAAACAGTTTAAAAGATAGCAAAGAAATGATCACAACAGAATCCCTAAACAACCACTCTGCATTTGTTTCTTTTTAGTTACTGCCAAAAAACGAATGCAGGAAATTGACACATAATTGCTTAAATTTAATAAAGAAAGTTTATCACTTTATACAAGACACAGTAAAAAATGTACTATATTTTAAAAGACTAAATTGAAACCAGACGAGAAATTTAGAACTGATAAGACAACAAATTTTAAAAGAAACTATATGATATAACAAAAGAGAAGGAAATCAGAAGCTTAGCAAGTAAAAAAGTAAAAAAACAAACAAAACAAGAATATGTATAAATATCAAGATCAAACACTGGCAGAATTAGTTTTATTTAAAATTTTAAAACCCAAACACATCAAAACGCTTGATTTATTTATTTTTTTACTCTGAACAGACTCATGTTTAATAGAACAGATTTCAAAAAGAAGACAGAGATGGAAGAAAACGTAACAGTTGTTGAGGTATTTGGCTTTTCAAAAACATCTTTTTCTTTCTCTCGATCTTAACTTTCAAAAGCCTTTAGACATCTCCCTCAGGAAGAAGATGACTCCAAATGCCCTATCAGTCAGCTTCCCAAACTTCTTCACTGTTTGATCCGTGACTCTTACAATTTAACCTTAACCTCACTTGAACACAAATGACCCAACAGATTCAGAAGAGCTGCCGATGACAAAAAAAAAAAAAAAAATCACAGAGAATAGAAAAGGGGGGTTAATCCACAGATTTTTCAACTCATCCTTAGATGTACAGGGGCATTTGCTTTAGAAAATAATGTCATATAGAACCAAAAATATAAAAATAAAAAGCATATGTAATCTGTTAAATTTCCCTGATTATTATTGGGCGATGGAAGAGCCAGGAGGAGGACAGATGCTGTGTTAGTCACTGACTGAATTTCGGTCATCACTGTTAAACTGTATATGAATTTGAGTGGGTAGTCTCTGGCTATTGGTGTGTGTGAGGGGGCTGGTTGCATGTGAATCGCTTCATAACGCCTCTTTTGTTTTGTTGTGCTCTGATAGATATGCACATGCTATTTTATTTGCATGTGCAACATATTTATGTACACAGACATTAGCACTAAAAACACAAATGTGGATCTTATGTAAATACCATACCATCTCATATTATACCATACCATCTCATATTATATAAACATTTGTTTTGGCCCACTTATCTGTGCTACAGGAAAGCACAGATTTTTGTTTCAGAGCATACTGTAATCTAAAAGGTGGTGCGGGAGTCAATAGAAAAATGTTTACATACAAATACATTGCCATTGCACATCCTCATAGTAAACAGAAATAATAATTATTTAATGATAGTCTTTTAAAGAATCTGTTTATATTCACTTCAACAATATGATACAATACACGAAAGTCATCTTTTCCATTTTCAGTACCCTCTGCAATGATTAGCCTGCTTGTTAAAGAGAAGGCCCTGAAATACATCCGTTCTTTATCATGGTATCAAAATTACAAGGTTAAAATTAGAATAATAATAAAACATTTAACATTTAGTTAGACAGGACACAATCCCATTTTAAGGAATACACTTAATTATAAAACAGACTTATCTGAGTGACATCCCATAGCCTACAGCGTTCATCTCCTTTGTGGCTACAATAGGTTTGGCTTCTCTGGGATGGCTTTCTGCATGAATTAGGGATATTTTTTCATAGGATTTCCTGATATTTCTTTCAGAATTCAGTTTGTTAGAGGATTATCTGCAGGCCTGGCAAGTTCTTCCACACCTAACAACAGCCATACTTTCATAACCCCTGGTTTCTGCACTAGTGCACAAAATCATCCCCAAATAATCCCCAAATCCTTGACCATGCAGGACTTCTGCTGATTTCTCTATTCTCTGTTCTTGAACTACTCTGAAGGCTGCAGGAACTTTTTGCACTTCAATCACTTCTACATTACACATCTCAGCATGTCTAACCCCACTCTGTGATTTGATGTGGTCTACTACTAAGCTACTGTCTTTCCCAGTAGCATCAACTAAAATGTTTAGTAATGAGAAGAGATTATTTGGCATGGTATCACACTATAGTCTTGTCTTGAAAGAAATATGGAGGAAACAGTCTGCATGTCTAGGTGCTTTATTTTTTTTTCTTCTCAAAAGTGTAAAGTATCCTGAGTGTTTATGTCCCTTTTACCCATGAATGAAATCAAGGTGAATGTTGTCCTCTCCTCTTGCACATATTGATAGATACAAAATCCAAAACATCTGCAGACATATTTACTACTAAGGGCGGTTCTGCAAAGTATTTAGTGGGGAGGATTTGGAAAACCATTTTTCATTTCATTTAAGAGACAAGTTTGATACTGCTGTATCCCATAGCATTTTTTTACATTGAAGTTTGTGATAGTAATGTGACAGTTGATGAAAACTGCAAATGTTATGCACATAGTTAAGAAATTAACCTCAGACACACAAAAAAAGCAAATCATTGAGTTGAAGTAAATGTGTTGGGATGATAAGGAACTTTAAGTTTTTACAGATTTTTTATTATTTTTTCTTTTAGTAAGGAGGATACGTCATGTGTAGGATCATTTGCAGGCAAAGGTCCAGATTTGTATAAATTCAGACATTTTCTTTTTTGCATGGTGGGTTTTTGGACAGAATTATATGCTGAGAGTTAAAAGTCATTGCCTTCACCACAGCTCCCATTTGACCTTTTGTGCAGCAGGCAATTAAGTATGTAGGAGAGGCAAAAAGGAATAAAAATCAGGCAGACGGCAAGTTTACTTTAAATGACTGTAAATCTGTGAAACGAACATACGCTGCCGAGACTGCAAGTGGCTGACCTTTACCAGTCTGTCAGAGCTCAGTTCATTGCACATTTATGTTCAAAATGTGTTAGCATAAAGGATTATATATTTCTGGTTAGCAGAATGACACACCAAATGGTCAGAAATGTAACTACATTTTTATTTTCAATCAGCATATCTTTTTTGTACACTTCTATGTTTTTAAATCTTGGTTTTGCTTATAATAAAAAATAGTCTCAGAGCTAAGAACTGAGTGAGCAGCTGCAGAGCGTGCGGATCTAACTCTACAGAGCCACGCACCTTTACCTCCCCTTTGATTAGATTCTAAAAAACAGTCAGCCCTCCTGCTTTGTTTCTGGTACAGCAGATGATATGTCCACAATGTCAGAGGTATATTTTTCCATCTCAGTAAGTTTATCCAATAGTCACAGCCTGACCAAAAAAAAAAAAAACCTCATAAAATGACAAGATGCCAATGACTCCAATATACATTGAGGTTGACTATTAAACATTGCAGAAACATAAACATGTTTTGCTCATTATGCAAACACCTGTTGTGCAAATCAGGAAAAAAATGGCTGCATCAGGACGATTCATCAACTCATTTCTCATGGACCACAGGATAACAGTAGAAATGGACTTCAGTTCCTTACTTCTTTATTTTCTTATTTTCCGTCAGTCAGAAGAAATCAGGGTAGGTTTGGTTTCCTGCTATAATGTCCCAAATAAACACTTTCCTTTGGAAAAAATGGGGGCAGGTTGATACTAATTTGCTGCCTTAAATTGGCTTGAACATTAACAGTAACTATATCAAACACCACATACATGCACTTCTCAACTATAGTTATTTATCCTGTATTATAACCCCACTAATATATATATATATAATCAATATCCTAACATTTCTGTAAAATTTGTATATTGTTTTCATATTTATTTGTTTTATAGCCTCTTACAATTACTATCTGCCTATATATACCATTTATAATCAATACATAAATGGTTTCTGTACACATGTGGATAGATATCTATTCCATATAGCACCTCCGGATAAATGCAAACTACATTTTTTTGCTTGGTAATTGTGACAGTGTAATGACAATTAAGTTGAATTCTATTCTACGGTGACCATATACAATCAGTTTCCTAATGGTTGCTTAATCTGCAATAATGTTAGTATAAAATGGTATTATTTTGTCCACAGGATGTATTCCTCACTTACTCAAAGGATTATTTTATTTATCTAAAGAATGATGGACTTGAGATTTAACTTATGTTTCATTTGAAAATATTTATTTATAGCACCCTATAATAAGGCATACAAAAACTGGTGGTTGAATGTCAAAGTTATTTAAAGTAACTAGGTTTAAGGCCATACCACGTAAACCTAGTTACTTCACGGCTTCTTCCCACAGTCCAAAAACATGACTATTAGGTTAATTGGCTTCTCTAGATTCTCATTAGATGTGTGTGTGAATGGTTATTTCTCTTGTTTGTCTCTGTGTTGCCCTGCGATGGACTGGTGACCTGTCCAGGGTGTACCCCGCCTCTCGCCCATAGACAGCTTGAAATAGCCAACAGCACCCCTCGTGAGCACCCAGCTTAACATAAAATGGATGGATGGATTTTAAGTAACCTAGCAACATAGCATTAGTGGTAATTAGTGGTATTCCTGAAAATAAATAAGTAAATAAACAAGCCAAAAATTAGGATCCAACCTCTAATCCGTTAATCTGCTGCTAAAGGTCAGAGGTCAAAAGAAAGGATGGAAAAGCGCTTAAAGATTTAATACTTATCAAACTTTAATTGGCCATATTCTGAAGTTTGAAGACCAGCATTTAAAACCTAGTTGCAGAAGGAGCAGGACAGTACACTGCGGTTCATAACTGGATCACTAATCTTTTTTCAAATAAGGCTTTTACTTAGTTATCTACATATTTGTTATCTTTTGACGTTATGGAAGAGTGCAATCTATCTCTATTTTCAGGGTAAATTTCTTCCAAAGGAGACAAATGAAAAAACTCTGAGTTTGAGAAAGCACTTGGTTTGTCTAGCCCAAATTGAGAAATGTCTGGATAGTTTTCAAGAAAGCTACAAGTAATGATGATGATGTTGAAGAATTGTTTGAGGGAAAATACACCTACCAGTTGCCCAAACTTTGTCAGAACTTGAGGCAAAATTAGATGTAATAGAATGGTCTCAAAGGCAACCTGGTGAGCCCGGTAAGCCATTACTCCGAAACAAATCAACGATCCAAACTGTGAGGTACGGAGGTGGCAGTATTAGGCTCTATGGCTATTTTAAACCCAGAGGACTTGGTGCACATATCATGCCATTTAAAGCATTAAAATTATTTTAGTAATCTCCACTGAATGAAATTATTGGAGGTTTAATTTGATTTTGTTTTAGACAATGAAGAAAGGAGTCTTATCATAGAAGTTGTGCTAAGTTAATTCGACTGAAATAAAGGTGAAATATGGTGATTTGTTATTGGGGACCAGATACAAGGCGAGTGCAGAAACTCTAATTAACATTAAAGATTATAAAACACGAAATTAAACTCAAAACAGAAATCACAGAAAGTACGATCGATTTTGCATCGTAAATATTAGAAATATCCATGAAACCTAACACTTCTTCCTCATACACTTTTCCATGTTTTTTCCTCTTGAGAAGAAGTGTTACATAATCTCTCCTGAACAATCTTGTGGGTACATTTTAATTAGCATAGGAGGTTTGGACGTTTAGTGACTCTGGAGTGGCATTCGAAACCTGTCACAGCTTCCCTTTGTTGTTCCGCCCACTCAAACTTGTCCTCCCCCTATTCCCCACCTTGATTGACAGGACTATCAGGAGTCCACCCACCTGGAGCAGTTTGTGACCCGCTTCTTGCTGAAAGAGACGACCAATCAGCTTCATTCACTTCAAAGCTCGCTTGAGTGCGCCATGGAAACCACAGCTGAGCAAACTCGCCAGGAGAAGTGAGTGCAAATCCCTCTGGTCCTTCACACCAACAAACACAATCGCACACTCAGGCACCAAAACATGAAAATGAACATTGAGACCTGTAATTAGACGCTCATAATTACGTGCATGTTTTGTTTGTTGTAATTTATATCTCTCATTAGAGACATGCATGCCTATACACCTGCTCCTCTTTGTAATAGACACAACTTATGTGACTCATCATTTGTTTATTAAGTACATTGTCATCGCCTTGATACAGACAAACGTCAGCCAATTAAAGAGAGCTTGTTATGATCTGAGAGAAGGGACTAAGACAGGATGTAATCAGGACAAGAGGGCACACCAAGAGAGGGCCAAGCGAGCCGGTGGACCTACATACTTGCTGTTAATCCCCCTTAGTCATAAAGAGTTTTATAGTATTTTTATTATATAAATTTCAAAAGAGAAAAATAAAACTTGTTTAAATTGTTATTTATAAAAATATGTAGGCTGCAACAGGAAAACAATGTAGGGGGTCTGGTTGCTTTTTGGTGTTAGTAATAGATGAGATCTACGACAGGAGGCAAAAAGTTGCTGGTAACTTTATCAAATTAATGATACAACAAGTCACATGGTGCTTGGACAGCCGCCTGGATAGGCCACATTTATAACAAAATAAAGACGAAAGAACAAAAGGGGAAACAAGAGAACCAGAACTTGGGTGCCCTAGTCTTGGGTCTTGGATAAGTAGAAGACAATACATTCAATTCAAATCAATTCAGTTTATTTATATAGCAACACCATCTCAACATCATCTTAACAGAGACAATTCAACCAGATCAAAGACAAAGTCAGATTGGTTCAAAGTTTTTCTTTTACGGAAAACTAGTTGATTCATGGACTTATTGACTCAAAGGCAATCCCTCACACAAAGCTTTCTTGTGGCAACGGTGGAGAGCAACAACTCCCTTTTAACAGCAAGAAACCTCCAGCAGAACCAGACTCAGTGTGAACCGCCATCTACTGTGGCCAACTGGGGTTCAAGGAGAAAAAAGCTGGCATACAGAAAGAAAGAAGCAGAGATACATAAGGCAACTGTCAACCAGCTCCACAGGCGTACCCGTCCAGGAAACACACAGCCAGGGAGAAGAGTTCCAGCCAGTTCCCATGTTAGAAGATGAAAGAGAGCAAATACAGTTAGTCACAGTCAGAGAAACAGGACTATACTGAAAAACAGGCCAAACCCCAACATCCACAAACTCTCCAGGAGGGTGACACAGCCAAACAGGAACAGACCAGATGAAGCTACCATGAGAAAAAGCAGAGTATAACGTAAGAGATTGAACTAACGAATTCTGCAGAATTAGACAATAGAGATAGAATGAAGCAGAAGGATAAAAAAGGGTCCCTATGCCCTCCAGCAGTCTAAGCCTAGAGCAGCATAACTATAGAGATAGCTCAGGATAACCTGAGCCTCTCTCACTATAAGCTTTATCAAAAAGGAAAGTTTTAAGTCTTTAAATCAGAGTTACATAAACCCTTAACAATACTGACTCTGGTTTAAGTTACCTGGTATTATAAATGTTTTTCATATAAAACTTTACACCTAGGTTGGGCCCCTTGCTTGCTTCTCATAGAAAAAAAAATATGATAGGTTTGTCTCATTCAACTGTCGCTGTTCTTTGTTTTAGGTTATTGCATTATATGTTGTTAATTGCAATTCATCTACCTTTAAAAGTAAACATTAAAAGACTTATTGCAGTGGAGAGTTTAGGATTTATCTACAACCCAAAAATTGCAACTGTTAGTACTTTACGAGAGGATTAATGCAAGAATAAACAGACACAATGAACTGTATTATCACGTGACCACGATAATAGATCATCAAACACTGCTTAAACATAATTTATTTACTCATGATCAGAGATGTCAAAAGTATTTATGTTTATTGGTCAACTTTAGATGTACATAATACTGTTTAAAAAAAAAACCTTTGTAGAGTTTGAGGGATCAACTTGACTAAACTCAACAAATAAATGTATAGAAGTAACGATTTTAGAACTACTTAAAGCATAAAATTATAAGTAATTTAGGAAAGAAAAACTCAATTTGGTACAAAGGCTTAGGCTGCACCATATGGTGCTCAAGTTTTGCATCATCTCTGCTTTGTAAACATTCATGCTAAGCTATTTACATCTGCATGTCGTTTTGCTTTCTTCATAGTTTTCAGTATTTTTTTTTTCAAATACTGTTATCCATCACGAAAACAAGCTGAAATGGAATACAAGTAGCTAGTTTGTTTCCTAAAATTTAAAGAGTAAAAAGGTATTTGCATAAAAATGTAAGATTACAAGTAAGAAATTTTCTAAAAACAATTAACCCTGAAAATTATTGATAGCAAAAATGTCTTCTTATTTAACATATCATTTAAATCTCACCCCTGCTCATCATTAGATAGTTTATTCATAAATTAATAACAGTACTGGCTGGTGATGATGAACCCTCAGTGGTTCTTGTCAAAAGGGTTCAGCCATGAGCAGGCAGTGATTCTCAGAGGGTTTGGTTGCATGTGTGCATGTAGTTCTTGACGAGTCTGGGTGTGTATTCAGAGCTCCAACATGCTTCCGGTGTGCTCAGGTCATTAGCGTTGGCAATGACTCACAGCTCACACAGTCACAGATCCCTCACATGGATTGCATTGTGCAGACAGACGTATAGGTGAATCCTCCCTGCGGGTAATGTCTGTGTTTATTTGTGGCACCCTATATTTATTCGACGGCTAATGATGTAAACTTTTTCACCTGTCTGCGTCATGTCATAGATAGAAGTGGGTCTCCTGTTCTGAGTGTTTGAGTAGAAAGGCTCTTTAATGTCGAAAATGTGTATTTTAAAGAGACTATGTTTCTAACGGAGAAACATCAAGAAGGACAAGTTTGTTTCAACTCTTTTTCACACCTTCACACTCGTTAAATATCTGGCTCTGAGTTAAAATTATATTTGGTTTTTCAATTTATCAAGTTGTGGCTCCCTAGACACTCAGCCATAACAATTTTACCAATGATTAAGCTTTAATAAAGGTCTCCTAGGTTTCAAACCCAGACCTGGAGAGATTGAAAACATTGCAACTTCTCCTGAATTGTATGTTGAGCATGGAAAGAGGAAAGATCAATAGAACATGCTATACACATTTAAAATGTACTTCCATTCAATACTTCCTATTTTATATCATTACAATGTGACCTTCCCTCACTCCCCGGCTGCCTCTTCTCTGTCTTGTTACTTGATAAATCCCCCTGTGAGTCTGGATGTAATCACTGTGCTCTGGCAAACATCAGGAGCTGTTACTGTGGTGGGTTTTAATTTACCTTTGTGCTTTTAAGAGGCTGTGAGCAAATGAAGAGCTGTTCTGACCTAAAGCCATACTTTGCACCAGGCTTATCTGATATTATGAATTTCAAATTATATTTTTCTTCTTGTAAAGCCATTTATTTGCACAGACCATCTTCTTAGTCTTACATTCATACCCATTAATATTGAATTTTACTCTGACTTTTCAAAGAATGTTGTATATACTTGTAAACTGAGCTCTTTAAATAATAGGTTGGCTCTTCAGCTTAAACAGAAGGTGACGGACTTATTATTATCATTATTATCCTGACTGTTAATTCTCTGGCCTCCCACTTTGCTCTCCAGCATTTGAACTCCTCTTTTTCTCCTTTTAAGATGCCAGTTTTACCTATGAAAGTGGCTGAGATTATGACTCACCAGTAGACTCTGAAATACCCATAATACATACCAGATGTCAGCTTGTGGATATTTCACACTACATTTCAACTGAATTTGGCTGGGGACTAAATGGTGTCATAGGCCCCCTGCAGCTCTCCTTTTTAGTAGTAAATCAGCATGAATAAGCATGTCCTTATTCTAGAAAAACAAGGTCTTTACCATTTTATTTGTTTTTAAATTTACAATAGTTGAATCAGGGGTTCGCAATGGAGCCCTTTAAGAAAAGGGCATTAAAATGCATACAAAGAAAAAAATATCTACATAAATTGAAATACAGAAAGCCCAACTGAGAATTTACCACCTGCTAAGCTGGAAATGACTTAGATTTTGACACATGAAGCCAACAGTCCACACACTCTCTGCACATATAATGCCTTTTTAAGCACTTCTCTAGTGCAGTGCATTGGCTTTAACTTTTAGCTACTCTGTTCACCAATCAAACACTTTTAATATATGTTTTAATGCTAGGAAAACTATTGCTATTGGTGATTTTAGTGATTGCTAATATTAGACCAAGAGCCTATGCTGAACACACTGGGTGCATCAGTATTGGGGTGCAGAGGAACATATGAGGCATGGCTTGGTTCCTCCCTATATTAGGGGGATCACTGAGTCTGATTTAACATAAAACGAAAACCAAAGCCAAATTGTATGTTTCTTTTTTCCATAGGTAGAGAAGCAAATGATCCTTTGCAAGTCAGGGTGTTGTACGTAACGTAATTTTAATTTACACTGAAAGCGTAGCAAGAAAAAGATGTAAAAGTTACCCTACAGACATCTAATTAATCAAACACGATGTTTTGGTTAAATTCTTAAAAAGACAGTTAATGTTTATTAACAAATTTTACAAAAATCAATGCTTGGTAAGTATATAATCAATTCTTTGATAGCTTGAATATATAATTTTCTTTTTTTCAATCAAAAATAACTTAATCAGATCTAAATTGTTATAGTTTATCAGCTGTTTTAGCTTTTTAACACACGTTTTTATCTTTGAGTCGGTTTAGTGGTGTCCTTACTGGATCAAATTCAAGAAGATGTGGAGAGTTCAAATTCTAATGGATCTTTTGTTTTATATAAACATTGCCATATGCTGGCCTACTTTTTTCAGAAGCAATGGGGTTAAATAATTATTAGCCTTGAGATTACAGAGAACCACCAATAGGTAGAAATCCGCCAAGGTTTCAAAAGGGATTGCAGGAGAACCTAAAATAAACTTTCAGCATAAAAAAAAAAAAATCAGTGTGTGCTCAGAATCCCTCCAGTCTTTTCAGTGTAGGGGGAAAAAACAAGTTGGAGACAGTATGATAAATCTTAGGTGATGTCACCCTCTGGGAGTATGCACCTTGTCACTAACATTAGTGTCAATGTTACAGGAATAAAACAGGACAACTCTGGGTTTGCTAAATTTATTCCCAGCTCCATCTAGTCACCTCAGAGCGATCCCAAGTTTTAACTCTTACAAAAAATGATCATGGTCCTGATGTGAAAGATTTCTGCTATAAGCTTAGAGTGCTGGAGGACATAAACTTCTGCTACGCCTTCTACTGATCTCCAGTTACTCACTATCTGCATGATTTGCTGCATTTAACTTTATGTTTTCTCTCTCTTCTCTCTTCATGGAAGCAGACCTAGCTTATGCTAAGGGGGCCGCTGGCTGAGCTATAGCTGCATTAATTCTATGTTCTCTTTCTATTAATTATACACTACTTTTTTAACAACAAAGTATTTAAAGGAGCAATACTGCAACTAAGTATTCTCTCTTAATTGAAGGATTTTACAGATAGCTCAGAGCTTATCTATTTGATTTGTGTTTCTCTCCTAAATTAAGCCATTATAGGAGCTCCCATTAACACTACTTTTCTTTTTAATTCAATGAAGTTGTCCTGGAGGTTTCTTCTTTTTAAATAGGATTTTCTACTGTCACTAAATGCACGTTCAGTCCAAGGGATGCTGCAAAGCTAAGTAGTCAATGCAATTGGTTGTTCTCTGTGGCTATATTCTCATTCATGAAGACTTGGTGCTGAAAAGTCAGATGTAAATTGGCTGAATATCCTTAGATATAAAACAATTGGAATGGTGAATTAACTTAACATCATTGTTTAAAATCTTGAAATCCATTTAGCTGTATCTGTTTACACTATCTATATGATTAAATATGAAAGATTGTAAATGTCATCGTATAAATTATTTTATTTTTTGTTCTTGTTTTTTGTTGTGTAGAAAAGATTTGTTGTAAATTGGCACCAAATAAGATAAACGGTTACTCTATTGATTTGAGGCTAAAACTGATCTTTTATGAGTCCAGACAGGGCCCAGTAAAGCCAGAGGGTCTCTCCATCCAGCTCTCTGGTCGTCGTTCCAATCGAAGGCTTCAGAGAAACAACAGCCTTTCTCCCAGCAACCCTCTCCTCAGTCTGGTTAACTCAGGTGGGCCTATGTGTTTCCATATTTGATGCTCATTTTAAATAACTTAATGCGATGTTGCTGTTTGCAAAGAAACAGCTGCAGGGTAAAAAACGAGCCCATCTCTGCTGATCAGAATGCACAACAAAGAGGTGGAAGGAAGGTAAGCAGAGGTGAGGCAGAGTAAAGGGCAGGCAGAGCCTGGAGGGGAATTGCTGTCCTCAGATGGAGCTTTGGGGTTTTTAAATACGCATCAATGAAATTTACAGATCAGGGGTTTCAGAACCAATATCAGTTACTGCCCCAATTTCGTGTGGTTATAGTTTCACATCCAACAAAAGAGTAAGGAATTGTAAGATCATACGCATTTATGCAACAAAGTATGATTATACAATGATACAACAACAGTGGTTAATTTTTATTAGTTTTAAATAATTGGCAAACAAGAAATTACACATTTAAACATTTAGTTTGGTTTATTGGGCTACAAGTTTTTACCAGCTTTTGAAAATCTAGGGACTAATTCCTTCTCCCTTCTTTGAAGAACAATTTTTCCACAAGAAAGTATTTTATACAAAGAGCAGAAATTTTGATTTCTGTTTCATCTGACCAGAACACATCCATCCACATGTTTGCAGTGTCCTCTACTTGGCTTGTGATGATCTGCAAACAGGACTGACTACAGTTTTCTCAGAAGCTCCTCCATAAAGACTAGATTTGATTGTTGTCCTGCTCCTGTGCTGTGGACCTTATCCATTGCATCCAAAGTTTCTACACACCTATCATTATCCCCCCAACTTTGAGTTTGGTTTTATCTGAGTGCTGTATACTTGGATTTAGTTTTGTTTTTGGTTAATGTAAAATGTACATAACTTTAGGTGACGAATCAAAAGTCTTACACTGATATGATATCAGAGCGATTCTATATTAATTGAGATACAAAAACATTAGTTTGTACTTTTAATTTCAAGCCTCATCATATGCTAATGTTCATTTGGCAGCAAATTTATTAAGCATCATTTCGTCAGAGTTAATATGCTCCTACAAACCTAGTCTAAATAATAATGTTTATTGAAAACAAAGCTAACATTTTCCTCACATTTCCAGACCTGATACAAGTTTTGTTTGTGTCTGGTTCAGAAGTGACTGATTGTCTCCATTTCAGTTCTCGTCATTTTTTTTAACCATTGATTGCACACAGTCAACTCTTCATTGCCTCTCCAACGCACCGCCGGCTGTGATTGCCTGCAGATCTGGGAAACAGGCACAGGAGCCAAACAAAGCGATTACAGGACTCGAAGCGTTCCTATTGATTGTCCTGGTTGTTTGCCGCCTGACATGAAAGGAAACCCTGAAATGACCCCCTGGCACACTGCCGTCATTCATACCTGCATTTGCTCCAAAGGGTCGATGGCTGAAAATATTTTAAATAGCTGTGATGTATGCAGCAGCTTTCATCTTTTTTTTTTTTTAATCCAGCTCCCTCTGTGCTTTTCCTTTCTCCCCTAGGTGTTTATGATGAAGATTGTCAGTGGACGGTTCAGGTCAACAGGCTGCAGAAGCTTATCGACCGCCTAGAGCAGAAGGTGGCTTCACCTTTTTATTAACCATATTTCTTATATTATTCTTCTTACAACTTATTTTGTGTCTTTGTTTGCCTCCAGCGATCTGTTCAATACATTATCTCCTGAAACCGACTCCAAATCATGAGCAGATTCACAACAATTTCAGAGTGTAAAACAGCACCTGCCCACATTATGAACACATTCACATATGCTCATAGAGAAGATATAAAGCAGAGCAAACTCAAATATGGTGATTCTGATGAGACCTCGGTGATAAGAAATGGGGGATTGGTTATATACCGTAGAATTAAATATACAGACCAACAAGTTTGAATATTTTTGAAAACTTCATTTATTTCATTTTCTGCAGTCCCTAATGGGTTATTCACTGTTTTAACAAGTGAACAACACATACATTTGTGTAGCTCATATTATTACATATTTTGTTATATTTGTGCAGGAAAATTTTACTCAGTTTCTTTTTGTTCGATTTATTAATATGTTTTGATATAAGATAGGGGGGGTTTAAGAAAGTATGTTTTGTACACATGTTGAAATGTTGAATTGTGAATGACCCCTAAATGATACACATCTCGTATAATTGTAATTGTCAGAGTAACATTTTCAAGCTTTTACTTGTCTTAACAACCATTTTTAGCTTACAGCTACTAAAATTTAATTCAAAAATACTTTAATAAGTCTAAAAGGAAATAAACGTTATCTTAACTTATATGGGTTCCCTTAACAAGTTGTAATAGATTCTTTTGGCTGTAGATTCTTTCCTTGTAGCAGTCTGTCCTACACTTGATAGGAAAAAGCCTTTGACTGAAGAGAACCTGTTTATGTATGACCATGTTAAATTAAATGAAACATTAAAATTTAATGCCAGACCAATACAAAAACATTTTAATAGAGAAATACCGCCCTAAAAGTTGCTATTTTTGAAATATACTTTTAATCTGAATATGGGCCATCGTCTTCATCAGGGTTCATTATTATCCATTATGCTGACATCATTTCCTTTTTTCAAATATCCTGAATGAATAAAACCAGTCATTAACGGGTTTCTGCAAAAAATCTACTGAATCGTTTGAATCTGGTTTGTTAAAGCTGGGAATCATCTAAAAAAAGAAAATGACTACAGGGACCAGGACTAGAAGATCATAAAAAAAAAGCCAGAATAAATGAAAACTAGTTTAAGATATGTGTTTAAAGCTGTAGAATACAATAAGAGAATCATTGATAGTATTGCACATGAAAAACTGATTTAGGACGCCCTCATTTTTTACATGACAATCGAGAGTTGTGCCATTCCATATACGGTGGTATAATATTGTTATTAATTGTGTTGTAATTGTTTTCATTAAAGCAAATTAAAGCAACTTTTTAATAGTGGCTATTTAATAATATTTTGTATTTCAAATTTAACTTCCTGCTTAAATGTGGTTTTGATAATTATATGTAGTCTAAGTTTTGATCTAAGATTTCCCTCTAAACTTGTACCAATAGCTATGTAAAAATGAAAACAAAATGCACACCTGTATGCTGTAACACAGGTAAAGAACTCAATGCCATAAACTTGCTCCTCTCTTGCAGGAGATCCGTATGGAGCCCGTCGAAGAGGAGGTTCTGGAGAGCAAATCGGTTGGTTTGACTTTCATCCTCCTTTCACCAGTCAGGGTCTGTGCTGTGTTTATTTCTCCGCTGTCATGTGGAGGGGTTTTACAGAAGCCGAGGCAAGACTGATAATGACAAGACAGCAGTTGCCATAGAAACAGTAGTGCTTCCCTGCTTTTTTTTTTTTTTTTTTTTTTACTTAGCCTGCCATCATTATTAATCTGTCTATTTATGGTTAATTCGGGTATGAAGGTATGAGTATGTTTGACATGTAGACAGACACCTCAGTTTCAATGGATAATGTTGGTTCTATTTTTTCTGTCTTGATGACTTATCAAAGGGTCAAAACAAGTTATAATCATTATGACTATACAGACATGTAAACAAACAAACACATTTAATCTAGTCTCGAGGCTATGTGCATTGTGACTGCTTTTTCAACTGAGGTAACATCGAACAAGTCTGGGTCTATCGTTACTGCCCATACGTGAAAGCAGATCAATTTTTTAAAAAAGCAAATAAAGTAGCCTAATATAAAAAAGTGGGTTGCAAGAGGAAAAGCTTTTACACATGTGCTTCCTTTGTGTTCCAGTACATTCTCCTTCAATATGATGTAAATCCTTTATACCACCTTTATTTATAAGATGTATCACATAAAAAGTCATGCAGGTGTCTGGGGGCCTTCACCTTTAGCTTGAACTACCCTTGTTAGATTTGTTTGCCAGGAACTCAGACTAGGAAGACATGATTAAGCCTAATACCCACCTTCTGCCCTATCTGTGCCTGCATGCTCCACCGCTCTGCTAAGGTCTCTTTGGACTTAAACAGAGCCGACTAAATGCATAAGTTAGCCTGCAGCTGCGAGGGGAAAGTGAATACTTTTATGACGTTACATAAGATGTTAGTAAAGACCTATTTTTTAATGCCCTATTTTGGTAACTCATGACCTAAACAAAATTAAAACAATTTTTGTGACTGCAGGCTGTTGGAGGTTTTAAAATAAGTTCCATGCCTCGCTGTGTAGGACACCATATACATATATATATATATATATAT